CATCCAGTCCAACACTCTGTGTCACACAGTGGCCAAAAATACCAGTGCCATCAGGAGGTCCACCAGTGGGGCCAGGACATTAGAAGCCCTCCCACTGTTGACCCCCCCCCAAGCCCCAAGAAGACAGAGCATCACTTGCCCCAGAGCCCCTATCTATACCTTGTGGCTAATAGCCACTGATGGACCTCTGCTCCATATGCTTATCTAATTCCCTTTTGAAGCCGTCCATGCTTGTAGCCGCCACCACTTCCTGTGGCAGTGAATTCCAAGTGTTAATCACTCTTTGGGTGAAGAAGTACTTCCTCTTATTCGTTCTAACCTGACCGCTCAGCAATTTCATGGAGTGCCCAAGAGTTCTTGTATTGTGAGAAAGGGAGAAAAGTACCTCTTTCTCTACCTGTTCTTTCCCATGCACAATCTTATAAACCAATAGGTAAAATTGGTAAAAGTCGCTGTCGCCTAGTGGTGGTCAGCGGACATAACAGCACGGAGTCCACATGGCCCGATCAGAGCATCTTGACGCCATGAGAGTGCACTGGAGCGATCAGACATGGGAAACTCCGTCCGTGGCCTGTCGCAACCTGTTTACTACCGGGCTTCCCCGGTGTCTTTTAACTCCGCTTCTGTAATTGTCTTTTAACTCCGCTTCTGTGGTGGAGCAGACAGGTGTGGGGCGCCGACAGGTGTGGGGCGCTTCCCAGATGTTGTTGTCTGATTGCGCCCTTTAAATCCACCCGACATTCGCACTTATATTGGGTCTAATTGTGCGTATGATTGCAGCCACAATTACATAAAACACATACACCGAGCTGCAAGCAGATCCAATGACTGCTTGTAAGAAAACAAGAGAAAATTACAAAAGAGCAGAATGACAATTGGGCCAGCAACAACATAGCCTTCAGTGAGGAAGCCACTGAGGCCCATGGTTTCTGGCAGGGCCCACTGATGCTGGCTGGCACCCCCAGCTTACTCACTGCCTAGCGCTGCATCACCCACGGTCCCTGCCAGTGTTCCCTTGAAGCTGAGTTAGTGTGAGCTAGCTCACAGTTTTTTAGCCTCCGGCTCGCACATTCTTGTCTCAGCTCAGGAAGGACGGCTCCAGAGCAAACTAAATTATGCAGTAGCCAAATTGCTCACTCACAACTTTAATGCCGGTAGCTCACAAGGTAGAATTTTTGCTCCTCAGCATAGAGGGAGCATTGGCCTGCCACCGGAGAGAGGTCTGAAGGCAGCTGTGAGCAAGGATGGTGGTGGGACAGCTTTTGAGCAGACAGGGTAAGTGTCAGCTATGCTGCCATGGGGGTTGGGGAATTCCGTCTGTGTCGTATTAATTGCTATTGCATTCCTATCCCTGTTGTTCTGCCCTGAGAGGTGGGAGACATGCCTGGTGATGGGCAGAGGAAAAGAGAGGGCTCTGAGAACTGTCTGCCCTGGGCCCCAAAAATCCTGGAACCGGCCCTGAATGACACCAATGAAACCTACCAGGGAAATGGCAAACTGGAATTGTGTAAATTTAGGAGGGGACTCACCCTGTGCAGAAAAACATGCACAAGGTGACCAGGAGTAAGGGAAAGGGTGTTTGTGTGCATATCACAGAGGCTATTCCAGACCTGAACCACCACCTTTCTTTGTGTAATTTATTCCAATGTCTTGCATGCGTAATTAAAATGTAACGCTTCCCCTCTCTGAGACTCGGCCTTCCTGCGAGAATCCCGCCCCCTCTGCCCTTTCCTCACCATGGTGCACCTGACTTTGTGATCCAGGCACTATCCTGCACTGAGGTAAATGGACACCTCATCATTTAATTTTAAAAGCAGGAAAAATTAAATGGGGGGAAATGGGAAAAAATTAACGGACTGTTTGGTGAAAACACTGAAAAAGCACCAGGCATTTAAATGGCCACCCTATCCAGAGCCTGAAGGTGAGTGATGGCCTCACACAGGTCAGGGTCTTACTGTTCGTGTCCTGGGTTCTGACAGTCCTGCCCTTGGGCAACATCTGGTTTGGCGGCAGGAAGCTCTTGTGGCCCTCTGGCCAATGTCCTGGAAGCGCTTCCTTGCAGGTAGTTTCCAACAGCTGTGTTGGTCTGTAGAAGAACAGCTCGAGTCCAGGCCAGGAGCACCTCAGAGACCAAAACAGAAAGCGGAAGAAACTTCAGCCCAGAAAAAACAGGTAACCAAGAAGGTTGACAAAGGGCAATTCTACATCTAGCATTCGCTCCACATTTTCTCAACACTGAGGGATAGGTGCAGCTCAAAACCATATTCAAATACCTCAGGGCAATGCCGTACTGACTGCAAAGGCACCCCTGAACGGCCATGAATCTATGCAGAAGGTACCATAAAACCCAATGATCAAAGAAAGCAAAAGCAACATG